TCGGGCGGCACAGGTGCCCGAGCGGCCCGGGGGAGGCTCGGCGAGGGCCCCGCGGGCAGCGCGGCCGCCGCGGGCCCGTGTCGTGCGCGCCGAGGAGGGGGCGGGGAGCGTGCTCGACACGGGAACGGTGGCCCTGAACTCTGCGAGGCTTCGTGGCCCCGTCCATGGTATCCGCGCACGCACTCACACGCACGCGCGCACGCACGCACGACGCACGCGCGCACGCACGCACCCCTTTCCCCCCCCTCCCCTTCCCCACCCACCCACCCACCCATTCACCCAACCACCCCCACCCGCACCCCCACTTCCATCGCTGTTCCTTATTAATATACACCCTCTCCCCCACCCGGCCGGCGGCCGACCAGGAACCATGCCGACCGCATGCGGACCCGCCCCCCACCATTCCTGTCAAAAAATGATACCGGGGAAAAACACCAACCATAATCTTTTTAGGGCTATCGGGCTATGGGCATCTACGGCTATAGGGTCATAGGGCTATATGGCTATGGCGCTATAGGGCTGGGCTATAGGGCTATAGGGCACTAGGGCAATAGGGCTTTAAGGCTATAGGGCTATAAGGCTATAGGGCTGCTATAAAGCAAGATGTGGGGCTATAGGGCTATAGGGCTACCGGGTACCCGGGCGGGCCGCCAAAATTCCCGACGCACCTCACCTAACTATATGAATCCGCTAGGACCCCAACAGAGGCAAGCTCTGATTGGGGAACAGTACAAACCGCACTCTGCCTCTACATTTGGAGCATGCGCGGCCAACCCGCTGCGCCCCCCCCCCCCCCAGACCATCCCTGTCAAGAAAACAATGCAAAGTACACTTTGGGGCAAAGTCTTGAGTCATGTTCGTGAGGCCCGCGAGCCCTTTGTATTGTTGTTTTTGACAGGGGTGGCGGGCGTGTCAGCATTTTCCCTGCTGTGCGCTGGGCTATCATCCCTGACAAAACCATGCAACATGCACCTCGCTGCTAAATCTGGACCATGCGCGGCCATCCTGCGATCACTGTGAAGTGTTTTTTGACAGGGACGGCGGGGGTGATGGCGCGTGGCCTGCTGTTCGCAGGCCCACCAGGCACAATGATGGGCAGTGGTTTTCGACAAGGATGGCGGGGGCCGACATGTTTCCCGATGTATGCTGTCACGTGCGCAGGCGCACCTGACGCACTCTGCGCGTGCCCCGAACGCGGCGCACCTGGCACGGCTGGAGTGTGCGGCACGCCTGGCGCACTCGGAGCACGTGGCGCATCTGGCGCACCAGGCGTGCCTGGAACGCTCGGGCCCCAGGGGGGCCTGGCGCGCTTGGCTCCCCCTGGCACGCGTGGCGCACCTCGCCCAAGCGTCGCGCACCTGGGGTCGGCTTTGGTTCCCAGTATCTGTCCATCCAAAGACGACCGCTGAACATGCTCCTTATGTGCTGGGAGGGCGGGTGGGAGTGAGCTGGACGGCTTGCGGGCGGGTGGGTAGCTTGACCCCCCCTACCCCCACCCCCACTTCCACCCCCACTTCCACCCCCACTTCCACCCCCACTTCCACCCCCACTTCCACCCCCACTTCCCCCCCATCTCCGCCCCCCCCCCCACATACACACGCGCACAACACGCACACGCGCACGCAAACACACACGCAAACGCACAAGCATACATACACAGAACCACAAGCACACACGACACTCACAACACACACAGGGACACACACAAACACAACCACACACACATTCACAAACACACACACAAACACACAAACACACAGAAAAACACACACACACAAACACACGCAAACCCACACACATACACTCACACACAGACACACACACAAACACACACACACACGCACAAACACAAACAAACACACACACAAACACACACACACACACACACACACACACACACACACACTCAAACACACTCAAACACACACAAGCACACAACGACACACAACCACACACAACCACATACAAACACACACACACACAAGCACACACACAAGCACACACACACCACACACACATACACACACACACACACACACGCAAAAACACATTAACACACACAAACACACAGACAAACACACACACACGCACAAACACACACACACACACGCAAACGCACAAACACAAACACAAACACAAACACACAAACACAACCACGCAAACACACACAACCACATACCACTCACACACAATCACACACACAAACACACACTCACAGGTCCTGGAGGTGCGTAGAATCGCTGGGGACAGCGTGTCCTCATAAGCACTGGGCATTTTGGCTGTGTGGCGGTATCCTTGTTTGCCAACATACGGGAGGTTGCAAATTCTTGGGACGGCGTGTCCTCATAAGCACTGGGCACTTTGACTGTGTGGCGGTATCCTCGCTTCCCAGTGTACGTGTTTCTCCGCGAGCCAGACGAAAAGGCGGCCAAGGAGCCGCAGCTGGGTGGCCGGTCCCCGGTGCGCAGCCTGACCCCCACGAGGCCTGCGCCCGCCCGCATCGGCCACGCGGCGGGGACGGCTACGCGTGTTCCTCAATTTCGGCTTGCGCTCCCGTGGGCGTGCCCCGCTGGGCGGTGGCCTCGCCGCCTGCTCTTCCCGCGGGGTCCCGCGGAGCGTCCCGCGGGCTGCGGCCTCGCCGCCGGCTCTTCCCGTGGGGCCTCGGAACTCGTCCCGCGGGCTGTCTGGCTTCGCCGTCTGCTGCGTGCCGGGGAGCCGCGATCGTCCCGCGTCTGTCTCGAGGCCGGTCTGGTGGCGCCGTTCGGCGCTCACCCGCGGCATATCTGTCTCAAGGCCGGTCTGGTGGCGCCATTCGGCGCTCACCGCGGCATGCTGCATACTTGCATTGACTTGCTCCGTTTGGATGAGCATGCAGCGCATCCGTGACCGTGTTGGCTCAAGCCCAAACAGGCTTGTAGCTAAGAGATGATACTGCGCAGACTGTGCCTGCGAAAGGCAAAGTTCCGACCGAGGACAAAAGAAGCTGGCGTGCAAGTACGGGCCAGGGCCGAGTACTACGCAGGGCTCCAGAGGGAGGTGCAAACTCAACAACTTTAGAGCGAGACCCACGCGGAGGCCAAGGGAAACGAGAGGCCCCAGAACCTGACGCAACGACAAACACACAGACACACACACCGACACACAAACACACACAAACACAAGCACACACAAACACAAGCACACACAAACACACAAACACACAACCACACATAAACACACACATAAACACACACACAAACACACACACAAACACACACACACAAACACACACACAAACACACAAGCACACACAAACACACACACAAACACACAAACAAACACACACACACACACACAAGCACAACCACACACACACACTCACAAACAAACACACACACACAAAAATACACACACACAGACACACAGACACACAACGACACACACAAACACACACAAGCACACACACAAATACACATAAAGACGCGCACACACAACGACACACAAAGACACACACACACACATACACACAAAGTCAAATAAATGCACACAGCCACACACAAACACACACAAACACATGCAACCATACAGCAACACACACAAGCACACAACAAAGCACACACACAAAACACACAAACACACAAACACATAAACGCACGCACAGACAAGCATATACACACATACACACATACGCACGCACGCACGCACTTGCACGCACGTGCACGCACTTTTACGCATTGGAGGAGGTGGCGGATGAGCAGGATGATGAGCAGGAGGAAAAGGAGGACGAGGGAGGAAGAGGACAAGGACGAATAGCAGCAGGAGCTGGAGTGGAAGGGGCCGGAGGAGCAGGAGGACCAGGGGAAGGCGGCGGATGGGGTGAGGGAGGCGACGACGATGAAAAAGGACTCGGATCCAGAACAGTGTCCAGCGCTGGGGCGAGAGCGCCATTCTGAACGACGGGAGCAAAGCGCCGATCCGAAAATGAGGCCCACGCTGCAGCGGGAACATCCACTTCGAAACACTGGAAACTATCGACGATCGGATCGTAAGCAACCAGCGGACAACACAACTGCTCAACTCCTGCGTGTGACAAGCACTGCGCGGAGATGGCCGCACATCTTCTGGGCAGAGTCGGAGGAGCGAGGAGCGTAGCATTCCTAATGTGCACTTGTGGAGGGGACGGGGCAGAGGCCGCGGAGGTGGAGACCTGGGGGCAGTGGCACGACGAGGGGAGAGACGATCCCGCCGCCCCGCCTCCGAAGGCCCGCTCCCCCCCCCTGGGCGCCCCCGGCGCTCCTGACGAACCCCGAACCCCCCCCCCTTGGGGCCTCCGACGTCGTGGCCTTCGCCCAGTGCCGGCTGCTCCCTTCCTCGCCTTCGGCCTCCACTGGGGGCCCGCCTTCCGGGCCCCCAAGGAGCCGCCACGCCACGACACGACATCGGCAGGAGCGGCCGCCGCCCGGGCGAGGGTCGAGGACGAGGGGCCACGAGAGGGGCGGGGGGTGGCTTGAAGAGAGGGCGGACGCGTCGACCTGGCATCGGCGACACCTCGCCGAGGTGCCCCCGATAGCAGATCCCCACGCTCCTGGGCGGGGTGGGGCCCTCCGACCCCTATCGGCGATCAATGGGCGACTGGGGGTCGGTGCAGCACCCCCCCCTCCTATGCCCATCCCCCCCCCCGTTGCCCCTGACGGGAGCCCCAGAGCCCGCGCTCTGGAGAAGCCAAGGCATCGGAGGCCTGAGCCTGCCGCCCCTCGCGCCCCTGACGCTCCTCGTGCCGTCTGAAGCCTCCGCGTGTCGTCGCTCTTGCTCCGGCGCCCTCTGCGCTCTGCTCTGCCACTGGTGCGCGCGCAGCGGTGTCTCTCGCCTGGCGGCGCGAAGTGCGCCCGCGGTGCCCTTGCATCCGCGCGGCGCTCTGCTAGCGAGAAGCGGCCGCCGAAGGCCGAGCGAGCCGAGTGCCAGTCGCTGGCGCGTGCGCGCGCGCGCGCGTGCGCGCGCGCGCGCGAGGGGCGAAAGCTCCTCTAGAAGTCGGCGTCCCAGCCCGGATCGGGGTCCTGCCATCCCTCATCGCGAGGGTCGATCTCGGCCTCGACGTCCTCCAATGGCCGCAACGTGGTGCTGGACGCCTGGCTGGGCGCCTCCTTGTCCTCCGCATAGGTCTCGCACTCGGGCAGGAAGGGCGGGATCAGCTCGCGGCCGAGGAGGCGGTCCCAGTCGAGCCCCCGGAAGAAGGCGTGCTCTTTCAGGGTGGTGAAGCCCTCGAAGCCCGCGCCCAGCCGCCGAACGGGGTCTCGGTTGAGCAGGCCCCGGATCAGGGAGACGATGGCCTCCCAGCGGGGCTCGTCCTCCCGCGGCGGAAATCGCAGCTCTGCGCTCACCACCTGGTTGGCGATCTCCCCCCAGTTCGAGAGCCCGTTGGCGAACGGGAACTCGCCCACCACGAAGTCGTAGAGGCAGACGCCCAGGCTCCACAGGTCCGCCACCGTGGTGTAGCCCTTCCCAAGGATCATCTCCGGGGCCATGAAGACGGGCGTGCCCTTGCTCACGTGGCAGCGGGCGGCGGTGATGCGCTGGGCTATGCCGAAATCGATCAGCTTCAGGTAGCCCTGGCGGTCTATCAGGCAGTTCTCGGCCTTGAGGTCAAGGTATGCGATCCGCCGCTCGTGCAGGAACTCGAGGGCTAATACGATCGAGCCCGTGTAGAACATTGCCTGCTGGTGGTTCAGCAGGCCCATCTTGTCCAAGGCGTCCAGCAACTCTCCTCCGCTGACGAGCTCCATCAGGAAATAGATTCTGGTCTTGGTTTTGAACGAACGCACGTACTTGACCATGAAGGGATGGTCAACCTCGGCCAAGATGCTGCGCTCGGACATGACCATCTCCTGCTGGCCCCTCTCCACGACGTCCCGCTTGCGCATGCACTTGAGCGCGTAGCGCGTGTCGGTCCGCCTCGCTTTCACCATCTTGACAACCCCGAAGCCTCCCCGGCCGACGACCCTCACGAAATCCAGGTCCCCGAACTCGAGCCTCGTGTCCTGCAGCGCGATGCGGGACGTGAGGTATTCCAGGCAGGGCCCCTGCATTATCTCCTGGAAGGTGCCCTTGTTCATCATCCACAACTCGCCCTCCTCAGAATAAGAGAAGCACGAATGCATCCGCCACCGTGCCCCTGGGCGCGGAGGGGGCGTGTCCTCAGGTCCTTGGCCTAATTCCTGGAGCCTATGTCCTAAACCCGGACCCCGAATTCTCAAACCTACCACGGGCCAAGAGGGTCCCACGAGGTCCCCGAGACGATTCAAAAAGGTTCCGAGTCACCGAAAGACCGTTCCAGGACGCCCAAGATGACCTCAAGATGGCCCAAGAGGCATCCAAGACGCCCCAAGAGGTCTCCCAGGAGGACGAAATGAGGCAACAATCATTGATTTCCCTCAGCTTTTTGATGATTTTAGCGTTCTCGCCGTTCCAAGCGCCCCAAGACGGCCCCAGAGGCGCCTAAGACGGCCCAAGAGGGCCCCAAGACGGCCCCAAAAGGGGCCCAAGAGAAGGAAGACGAACTGAAACTCCGAGCTTCTCGCCCCAAGAGGCTCCCAGGTGGCCCCAAGAGCCGCCTGGGAGGCCCCAAGAGGCTCCCAAGAGGCCCTCCCCCAAAGAGGTCCCGAAACGGCACCCAAGAGGCCTCCAAACTGCCTCCAAGAGACCCCCGAGAGGCGTCCCCTGAGATCCCAACGATTAGGCTTTATACCCACAACCCAGGCACGGTGGCGGGATGGGCCGAAGGCCATTCGATCCGCCGCCCCCTGTCGATTCATCGCAGGGGTGCCTGGCGTGCTAGATTAGTTCGGTTTTGGTTTTGGTTCTTTTTCCATAAGAACTCCCCCCTGGGGCTACGGCGCGTCCTGCCTTTGTTGCCCCAAGTTGGCCCAAGACGGCCTCTAAGATGGCAGGAGGCCTTTAAGACAAGACGGCCCTGGAGCATTCCAAGAGGGCCCCAAGTCGGCCCAGAGAGGCCCCCCAAACGGCTTCCGACGGCGTTCGACGGGCCAGGAGCCCACCAAGACGGCCGAAGATGGCCCTGAGATGGCCCAAGAGGCCTCCAAGAGGGCCTCCAGGAAGGCCCGAAAAGGCCCAAATCATCGATTTCCCATGAGTTTTTGAAGGAGTGTGGCAATTGCTTTTTTTCGGCCTTCCGACGGCCCGAGACGGCCCAAGTGCCCCCAACGATCGCCCAAGGGCCCAAGACGGACCCAAGAGGTCCTCAAGACGGCCCAAGAGACCTCCAAGACGCTCAAGATGGCCTCCAAGACGGCCCAAGAGCCCTCCAAGACGTCCTCCAAGAAGGCCCGAAAGGGTCAAAATGGCCTTCAGACGGCCAAGATGACCTTCAAGATGCCCACGTGTTCCCCGACGGCTTTCCAAACCGATTCGGGGAACACATGGTCCGATCGCTTGGCAGGTCTGGCCTCAACGTTCGGCCACATAGGCGCTTCCAAAGAGGCATGGGGCGGCGGTGATTCGCCGTAGGCGTCTTCGATAAGCTTTCGAGGGCCCGCGCGGACTTCTCGGATCGGCGCTGAAACCCCTCCCGGCCGCGCGGAGCGCGCCACTGGGTGTCCAGCGCAGAACAGACGAAATCCGCGCGGACCTCCGGACGTTTGTGTTCATACCGCCTTTACTTTTCCGACTCCTCTACGGCCACGACGCTCGCCGACCTGGAGCACCGTTTGACCGATCCCTACCCCCGCTGGCATGGCCTGGGCCCCTCTGGCCGACCTTGCCCCCAAGACGGGGACACGGGCCGCTCCTTTCGGGCTTCGAGGGCCCGTCCCCCCACCTGGGGTGGTGGGATGGTGGGGCTGAGGCACCATGGCCCAGCGAGGATGGGGGTACACCCTGCGAAATGCTTAAGAAATCATGGGTTAAGAAATTCATAGTCTCAGAACTTGAATAAAAACCAAAAAATTCTATTAAAATCTTAGGATTTACGTTGAAACGTTAAGAATAATCGAGACTCTGGCCGAACATTCAAGTTTTCTTAAGCATCGCCTAAGGTGTACAGCGAGGACGCGGCCGCAAGAAACCCTCGCGAGAAACCCAGCCCCGAAGACCCGCGCGAGGGGTGCGACTGGGGGGAAGCCCATGGCACCCTGAACGCAGCGGCTTCTTCCACGGCCGCGGGGAGTCACCGTGCAACGCGAGGGGCGAGGAAACCCAGGGTAACCTGATGAAAAGCACATGGTTTCTTGATGCGCGCCCCCACTGTACGGCACATTCGTGTCGTGACGACTTCGGCGTTGGTGCCTGTCACTGCGTGGATCGTTCAACCTTGAACGATCGGCCGTTTCCGAAACGTCGGATCGTTCCACATCGACCGATCTGTGCCGCCGGCGGCGTTCAACTCCGAACGCCGGCGGCGGGGTCGCTGCCGGTCGACACGGCGCGAACCTACCGTAGGTTTAGGTCGGGCATGTCCTCCTACAGGCGGATTTTGAAAGGAAAATGAAACATAGTCGAACGTATTCATCAGAAGTAATCAGAAATAATAGAAAACCCTCCCCGTAGCATTTTCTGTCTATCTCTGAACCTTCCTCCTCTGGAGGGACATGCCCGACTGGAACCTGCCGCAGGTGAAACGATGCCGAGACCTGGGCTCGTTGCCGAGCAGCGCCCGCTCCCCGAAGTAGTCGCCCTTCCCGAGGGTGCGCACCCTCCGGCCGTCGATGTCCACGGCCACGAGCCCCGTGCGGATGACGTAGAAGTGCGCCGCGCCGGCGTCGCCCTGCGAGAAGACCCGCTGGCCCTCGGCCACGGTGGTCGTCTGCAGGGCGCCGGCCAGCCTCGGGGGAGGCAGAGGTGCAGTGATGCCGCTGCAGCAGGAGCTCGCCCACAGGAGGCCTTCCGCAAGAGGCCCAACCCTGAGACCCCAGAGCGCCCATCGAGTTTTAGGAGCGGGAGCGTCACGCTCTCGACAGCGGAGCCATCGGAACCCAAGGAGCTTCGGACACCCTGGAGGCAAGCAGGGTGTTTCTTGGCATGGGTCCCCACTGTACGGCAGGTTCGTGTCGTGCCGACTTCGGCGTTTGTTTGTGACACCGCGTGCATCTTTCAACCTTGAACGATTGGCCGTTTCCGAAACCTCAGATCATTCAACATGTACCGATTCTGGGTTGGCGGCGGCGTTCAACGTTGAACGCTGGAGGCGGGGTCGCCGCCGGTCGACACAACGCGAACCTACCGTACGTGCCCTTGCCATGTTTTTCTTTTTTCGTCTTTTTGGGTCCCCTGGGAGACCCTCGTCGCCACGGCTGGATTCGCCTCGGAATCCTGGTCAGAACGCACCCTGGGAGAGGTCCGCGCGGAGTGGTGGCATCGGCACCTCTTGGCTCCCTCACAGCCGGGTCAGCTGCGGCTTGGCGAGCGTCTGGAAGAGGAAGATCGTCTTCAGGACGCGCACCCGGTCCTCTTGCTCCAGCGCGAAGTCCAGGTTGTCGAACATCAGGACCGGGTCCAGCTCCTGGCCGCGCCAGATCGCGAGCTTCGCGGGGCTGTCGGACGTCGCCTTCACGAGGAGGTTCCACCTCCTGCCCCTGTGCAGGAGCATCTCCTCGCCGAACGTGCAGCCCTCCGCGGAGCCGCCCGAGTGGCGGGTGACCTTCGCTGCGGGCGCCTCGTCGCCCGCCGGGCGCGTCTCGACCTCGCCGTGGAGCACGATCGCGAAGCGCAGGTCCCTGGCCCTCTTGGGGGCCGCCATGGTCTCGAACACCGCGTCGGGCATCCGGGCGTGCACCTTCCGGCACTGCTCGCGGTGCCTGCACTTGGGCTCGAGGCCGCGTATCTCCAGGTTGTAGAAGTAGCAGTGGTCGAGGTACCTCTCCACCTCTCACGTGGGTGGGCGACGGGCGGTGCGACACGAGGCCCTCGGGGGCGCCTGTTCCAGGGCGGCTGGAGGGGTACAACCTCTCCAGCCGCCCTGGGGGAGGCGTCCCCGATGGCGGCGAAAAAGCTATACTGCACCGCTCTTCGCCCGCGGGACCTCGCCGATGGAGGTCGAGGACCAGCCGGCGATGCCGGCCGAGGTGATGGCGACCTGCTCGAACGAGGCGGTGCCCCGGGGCAGATTGTGGAACCGCTCGTAGTTCTCCAGGGCGCGCTGCTTGCTGGGCTGGCGCGGCGAGCCGTCCATCATCTGGCTGCGCGCGACCGTCGCGCCCGGGGGGTACGCGTTGAGCAGGGGGGCGTCCACCCGGAAGGACGGGGAGCTGCCCGCGCCGGCGGAGCCGAAGCCGACGATGTCCCTCGTCTCCGAGACCTCGCCGGCGGATATCTCGACCTGGTCGCGGACGCGGAAGCCGTCGGCGGACAGGATGGGCACCTCCTGTGCACCCATCGGGACGTCTGTCGTGGCGCACGTGGTGACCTCTCCGCAGAGCTGCTGCGCCGCGTCAGGCACGCTCACGTCCAGCCACTCCCTGAAGGCCCCGCGCGTGCCGTCGTCGATGTCGGTCATCAGCTCTGGGATGCTGCAGATCGCGTGCTGCGGGATGCGGTGCTCCATCATTCTCTTGACCACCTTGCAGAACCGCTCGTTCGCCCTGGCCCTCTCGCCCTCCGGCGCCGTCGACCGGAACAGGGTCAGCAAGCTGAGCAAGTCCTGGGTGCTCCTCAACTCGAGGACCAAGCTCCTGCACTCGTCTGGCCGCAGCTGCATCTGCAGCGCGAGGCGCATGTCCTCCCTCGTCAGCCAGTAGTCCTCCGACGTCAGGCAGCTGGGCGCCGTCTGCGTCGGGAGCTCCGTCTCCAGCACGCCCTCGCAGATCTGTACGCCCGTCAATTCCTGCCCAGGCTGTATCTGGCGGATGACGCACGCCGTGGCGAGCGCCTGGCGCTGCTCCTCGTGGATCCTGGAGAAGACGGGGTGCTGCGCGAGCACGGAGAGGAGCCGGTGGCGCACCAGCACCTGCTCCAGCTGGTCTCCGAAGATGGTCTCGAGCAGGCTCCTCGTAAGCACGAGCACCTGCACGGGGCCCTTGGCGGCCGTGAGCGTCGTGGGGCTCTCCTGGAACACCATGGCGCGATCGCCGGCCACGGCGAAGCGCGGGAGCTCGCCGAGGTCCTGCCCTCGCTCTGTGACCTTGACGCTGCCGGAGCAGATGATGATCACCTCCTGGGCGTCGCAGGGGCCCTCCTCCATGAGCGTGGCGCCCTGCTCGAACCTGCGCATCTCGACCCGGTCGTACAGGCTCTGCAGCTGGTAGGCGTTCAGCGCGGACAGCATCTCGCAGCCGTTGGAGCTGATGACCTCGTCCAGGGCCTCCACCACAGACGCGCGCTTCTGTTCGTACTGTGTCCGCAACATCTCGCGGACCGCCATGCCCTCCATGCCATAGGCCCTGGTACGCCCGCGGGACACGACAGTGGCGTTCCGCTCGCCGAAGAGCATGAGCACGCTCTCGCCGAAGCAGCGGCCAGGCACCAGGACCACTTTCGGCTCGCGGTCCCTCTCGACAACGAACTCGCCCTCCGCCACCACGAAGAAGTGAGTGCCATCCGTGTCACCCTGCCGAACGGCCTTCTCTTGGTCCTCGAACTGGTAGACCTCCATCTCCTTGATCAGCTCCTCCATTCCGTCGTCGTCGAACTCCTCGAAGAAGGTAAGGCCTCGAAGCGACGTCCTCAACATCTCGGTGTCCTTCACGACGTCATCCACCCTGTGCCTCGAGAGGAAGTCTACGCCGGGCTCCTCCGCGCCCTCGCGGGCGGCGCGCAGCAAAAGGGTCGGGCGAGGGAGGCGGCCATCTGAGCAGGTCTCCCCCGGGTCCGCGTGCCGAGAAGGGCTCCCTGGGCGTCCAAGGGGCGACCTTTTGGTGCGCGGCTTGCCGCTTGGTGCAGGCGATGTGACAGCGGCGGAGGAGGAGGAGGAGGAGGAGGAGGAGGAGGAGGAGGAGGAGGAGGAGGAGGAGGAGGAGGAGGAGGAGGAGGAGGAGGAGGAGGAGGAGGAGCGCGGCTTGCCGCACGCTTCGGCCTGCCCCCCTCGCCGCCCCTGCTGCGCCCCCCCCCCCCCCCCCGAGAGCCGCCGCACTGGAGGTCGCTCCCGCGGGGGACCGCCCCCGCGTGCCGCCCGTCTCGGAAGCCCTCTCGAGGCCCTCTGGGGGGCCGCCTCCGAAGTGTCCGAGCACCAGTGTCAGGACGGGCGTGTCCTGCCACAGGCGGACTTGGGAAGAAGAAGAAGAAGAAGAAGAAGAAGAAGAAGAAGAAGAAGAAGAGCAAGAGCCAGAACATGCTCAAGAATGGCCAGCAGGCCACGAGACATCGCCACCAGACTTCTCGAATGAAACCATTCCTGCACACATTATTCCTCCTGCAGAGGGACCTGCGCGACCTGACCCTACCGAGAAGTGGCCCACCTCCTCCGCAGGCCCCCCCCCCGCGCCCCCCCTCCGGCGCGCCGTCGGCCTCGAAGGACGGCGCCCGCCACGGCAGCGGAGTGGCGCCGGCGCCCCCGGGGAAGGCGGGCAGGGCGCTGCACTCCCGGTCCTCGCGGGCCTGGCGCTGCGCGTTGCGCTGCACGCGCGAGGCGATCTCCCGCTCCATGTTCGACTCCATGGCGACCGAGACGCCGCCGCCGCCGCCGCCGCCGCAACCGCCGCCGTCGTCGTCGCCGTCGTCGTCGTCGGCAGCGGCGGCGGCGGCGGCGTCGGCGATGGCGCAGGCGTCGGTCAGTCGTCGTGGTCGGCCCCTCGTCATCATCATCGTCGTCGTCGTCGTCGTCGTCGTCGTCGTCGTCCTGGTCGTCGTCGTCGTCCCCGTCATCGACGACTGCGGCGTCGCCGACCGATTTGATGGCGTCGCGGTCGGAGTCCGAGGGCGTGACCCCGGTGGTGTTCTTCACGGCGATGCCGAGCCCGGAGTCCACGCTGCGCGCGCGGATCGGCTTGCGGCTGCTGCCGCCCAGGCGAGCCTCGTCGGGCTCCGGGGAAGCCTCCGCCGACGTCATCAAGCTGCTCTTCCCCAGGTAGGGCGTGTTCATGCGCGAGCGCGGGTTGCGAGAGCTGCAGCGGCTGGACACGGTCTCCGCGTCGCTGGCGGCGTCCTCTCGGGTGCTGTTAGAAGTTGCCCTGGGCCCAAGATGCCCCCCACGGCTTCCAGAGAACCCCTCACGAGGCCCATAGGGCCCCTGGGGATCCATCATGGAGCGACAAGCTGGGGGCACCTCGGGTCAGGAGCACCTTTAGCAGCCCCCGATCCTCGTGGCCGTCTTCTGGATCCACACGGGGCACGCTGCGCCCGATGTTACCGCCCTCGTGCCCAGAGGCGTCCTTGAACTGCGGGGCCGTGAAGCGCCTCGTCGCGGTGCGCCGCGGGCTGCTGGGGCTGGATGCCTCCGAATCCTGCAGGCCGCTGAATCGCACGCAACCGTCGTCGTGAGGGACGTCGTCGGCACCGTGCCACCCCGTCGGCGTACGGGACCGCGTCGACTTCATCTCTGTGGGGACCGCCATCGGGGACACCGCGGGGCCCTCTGTGAAGGCGACGCCGCCGCTGGCCGGGCCGTCCGCATGCGGCTCCCCGAGCAGACCCTGCGGGTCCTCGTCGACGAAGCCAGTCGGCGTGCGCGAGCGCACCGGGCGCATCTCTCCGCGACCTGGCACGCACTCCTGCGACACCTCGCTGGCGAAGCGGAGGCCGGCCCTCGGCGGCGGTTCCCGCAGCGCCTCGCCCTCGTGGCCGCCAGCGGTGCCGCCGCCGGCGGGCGGGCGCCCGTCCTTCGGGAGGCCCGTCCGTGCCACAGACCCCCCGTTCGAACCCAACGACCCCCGTTCGTGCCCGCGGCTTCCCCGTCCGTGCTCCCCCCCCCCCTCCGATCGTGGCGAACAAGCCCCGCTCCCCGCCGACGGTCCACCTGGCGGCGCCCCTGGCCAGTTCCCCTCCCTCCCCCCCCTTCCCCTCCCCGAGCTCGAGGATGCCCTTGGAAGGGCCCAGGATGCCGCGCGAGCGAAGTGCCTTCGGGCACGGGCGGAGGCGTGCCTGCGGTAGATCGGTGCATCGAGGTGCGCGCGGGAAGGGTCATCCAACGCGGGCACCGATGGGAGCGTCCATGTGGCCCTCTCTTTTGGACGCCCGAAATGGGTACCGAACAAATGGGTACAATGCCCAACAGCGAATGTTGTCCCGAACCAACAGCGGCCGCTGTTGGGCAGGCGGCCTCCTGTCTCGAATGGACACAGGCCGCGGCGGCGTGGACAGCGAGCCCTGATCAAAATGAACAAGATCCGCTGTTGGGCATTGTACCCATTCTTTCAGTACCCATTTCGTGCGTGCAGATCTCTGGGGCCCCAGGTCTGACTGAATGACTGAAGCCGGCGTGTCCGCAGAAAACGCCAGCCGCTGCATCCCTGATGTAGGGGGGATCCGCCGATGCCGCGGCGGGCGCCCGCACCCTCCTTCGTGCCACTGGGGGCCCCTCGTTCGTGCCAGTCCTCGGGGCCCCCTTGGGATTTGCCAGGGAAGCGTCCCTGCCCCACTGGTGCCGCTTTTCGCGCCGTTTTGGTCCTCTGGGTGCCCTGGAGGCTGTTTGGGCTTCCAGGGGAATCCTGGGGACATCTTGGGTCAGGGACACCTGTAGCATCAGGTCGGGCGTGTCCCCCTACAGGCGGATTTCGCAAGACAGAATTTTCAAACATATTCAAAAATAGTCGAACATACTAGAAAATCGTCCCCAGACCATGTTTTGACTATTTTTGAATATTTCTGCTGTAGAGCGACATGCCCGAGTTAATTGTAGCACCTCACAATCTGGCCTCTCGTAACTCGGGGCTCGTCTGGCTGCCTGCCAGACGGGGGCGGGAACAGCCACTGCCGTTCGGCTCAGAGAGGGGGGGGAGCGACGGCTGGGTCTGGAAGGCAGTGGTGAGATAAAGATGCTGCTGCTGATGATGATGACGATGATGATGATGCTGCTGCTGCTGATGATGATGATGATGATGATGATGATGAGTATGATGGTGATCTGCTGCTGCTGCTGATGCTGATTCTGATGGTATGTAATGATGATGCTGCTGATGATGATGAACCTGATGATGATGATGATGATGATGCTGATGATGATTATGATGATGGTACGGATGATTATGTTGAGTACGACGACGACATCGACGACGATGATGCTGATGATGATGCTGATGCTAGGGATGATGAGGATGATGAAGATGATATTGCTGCTGATGCTGCTTCTGTTGCTGTTGCTGATGATGATAAGGTTGAAAACGATGACGATGATGATGCTGCTGCTGATGATGAGGATGCCAATGGTGACTGTGATGATGATGGCGACGAAGATGATGATATTGATGGCGATTGCGACGATGACGATGACGACGACGACGACGGTGATGATGACGATAATGATGATGCTGATGATGATGGTGATGATGGTGGTGATGATGGTGGTGATGGTGATGCTGACGATAACGATAACGATGATGATGCTGCTGCTGATGATGATGAGGAGAATGAGGAGGAGGAGGAGGAGGAGGGCGAATGAGGGCGAATGATAATGTCGATGATGAGGATGATGAGGATGAGGATGAGGATGAGGATGAGGATGAGGATGAGGATGAGGATGAGGATGATGATGATGATGATGATGATGATGATGATGATGATGATGATGATGATGCTGATGATGCTGATGATGATGATGATGATGATGATGATGCTGTTGATGATGATGATGATGAGGAGGAGGAGGAGGAGGAGGAGGAGGAGGAGGAGGGGGGAAGGAGGAAGAAGAGCAGGAGGCAGAGAGGAAGCGGAGGAGGATGAGGCGGAGGAGAGGTAGCCGCTCCACCGGGTGCAGCCTTGGCCCGCCTCTGCGACAAAATGCTCACACAGGGGCGCAAGAGTCTCCGCAAGTCTCTCCTGGTGCCACCAAAAAGGCTGCCCCCAAGACGGCCAAAGAGGGCCAAATTTGCAGTCCCGAAACGGTGCGGTGACAGACCGTGCGGTGACCCAGAACTCCCCCAAGACCTCACCGCACGGTTTTGGAACCTCGGATGCCCCAGTCGCCCGAATCGTCCTCGGAGAACGACCCGAGTCCCAAAACCGTGCGGTGACCCCGAATCCCCACCGACTCACCACACGGTGTGGTCACCACCCCGTTTGGGGGCCCCCGACCATAGGAGAATGCCAAGAAGGCCCCGGAAGAGCCCGGGTGAGAAGGACGCAGCCAAGCCGCGGGGCGGCCGACGGCCCGGAGCGACCCAGCCCCGAGACGCTCGTAGCGGGGCCCAAGAGGCTCCCCAAATTGTCCCGAGGAGGGCCCGAGAGAGCTCCAGGGGGACCCCAGGAGGGCCCCAGGAGAGCAGAAGAGCCTGGGCCGAGAAAAGGCCAGCGTTGGGACGAGCCGTGGGAAGGGCACAGCATGCAGGGTCCAGGACCCGAGGCCCCCACACACCATCCTCTCGTGCGGGAGCACTTCCATGCCTCAGATCAGCTGCCACGATGCAGCGTCTGATCCTCGTCGCAAGCATCTGGTCCGAGACCTTCCCTTCCAGAGCGGCTCAGCCGGCGTGCTGCTGGGCGTACTCGCGGCTAGCACAAGCAGCTGCGTGGTGCCAGTGAGTGAGGCGTCTTCACTGGCGAAAGTGTGTGTATATGTATATAGATGTTTCCTCGTTCCCTTGTTCGATGCAATCTTGTTTGCAACTTAGGCTGGCACATCCCGTCAGATTATTGCGCGATCGTGACCCACACCCGATCTCGTCCACAATGTCGGGTGCAACCAATACGTTCGCTTCCCCTGCGTATTCAATCGCGACAGTGGTGCCGCATCGCTGGCGGAGGAAAGTGTATGCTCGTGTGTGTCCAGGCATGGGCCCTCAGGGCGGAGGTTGTATAACGGTTCTTCTCTTCCCTCTTCAAAGATCCCTTCTTCCCATATTCGGGGAGGGATTTCTCCCTCCTCCAACCCCGCGCCACAAGACTCCCCCCCTCGCCCAAGCCAAGACTTTCGCACGCCCAGGGTACCCTGCCAGGCTCGGCTCTATTTGCGATTGGGGTATTACTTTATATTATGTTTGCGGTTCGACGGAACCCCTTTCGAAGTTTGGCCGCTAGCAATCCATGGCGGGCGCCCCTACCCACCATCACAAGAGGAGGACAACTCGCATGGGGTTCAAGACGAAACGAACATCGCACGAACAAACCGTGCCGGTGTGCCGTGCTCCTGTGCTTCTGCCTGGGCTGACGTGCTGGTCTGTATTTCTAGACTGCTATTTTCTGGGGTTGCCGTGCCAGCTTGCCCTCATCATTTTCGCTCCACGGGCCTCCGTGCTGGGCCGCGGGGCTATCTTTTTCCTTGTCATTGGGGGGGGGGGCTGCTGTACTGGTCAACCGTGGTTCTCGCTTGTCGTCGGGGCTGCCGTGATGGGCAACCGCACTCCAGGCCTCGGAAAAAATGGCGAACACTCGTGCCACATTCATCTGTGAACGCCTCCCCCTCCCCCCAGAGTTCAAAGTTGAACGCTGGGTCTGATGAGTCGCACCTCGACCGCAGTCTCCCCCGCGCGTGCCAGCTTTGCGTTCGGGGGGCAAAGGGGGGTGTTCCCTAATTGCTGCCCTCTGCCGTCTGTTATGCTTTGAGGGGGGGAATGTCGTGCTGGTCGGCGGTGATCGTGCTTCGCCGACCGACCGGCCACGGCGGTGCCGACGCCGTAGGAGAAGCGGCCCCACGGGGAGCGCCGCGTGCCAGCGAGGCTGCCGCCACGTCTTGACCTTTTAACATGGGATCCGACGCTTCTACGCTCAGGAGGAGGAGGAGCAGGAGGAGGAGGCGGAGGAGGAGGAGGAAGAGGAGGAAGAGGAGGAGGAGGAGGAGGAGGAGGAGGAGGAGGAGAAGGAGGAGGAGGAGGAGGAGAAGGAGGAGGTGGGCTTCGACACTCTCCGCCCGCCGCCTCGCACCAATTTTGGGGCGCGGAGGCGCCAGCGGGGCGATTCCCAGGACGCAGCTGGGTCCTTATCTCAGGCCGCCTCCGTCTCGATGGCCCATGGGTGTGGACTGATCCCGTGCACGTGGCCTTTGCAGTGCTCCGCACGCTGCTCCCGCACCGCTCACGTTGAAGCGAGTTTGATTCGAGTCGTCGAGAGACCCGTCGCGCCCGAAGCATGCCCCATGCTGATTCCGATCAGGCCTGTGAGCCCGCCAAGCCGGCAATCTCGAGAAGCGCCGAGGCATCTCCAGATTTTCGTCGAATGGTGGTGCAGATGCGTTGGAGAACAGCGCCCTAGTCATGGGGCCATTTTCGGCAAGGTGCTAGCTAGCATCGAGCCCATCCGCGGAAAATGGCGCGCACTCGCTCTACTACCGCAAGTGGCAAAGACGCACCAAACGTCCACATCGTGAAGAACTCTTGCTAAACCGGGACCGCCGTGTGCGGCTGCTTCGGTAGAAGCGGGACGGGCAACTTCAAGCCGTTGAGCGCCCTAAAGGCGGGCGTCGATGTGCCCAATCCGCTCCTGGCAAACGGTTGGCGCGCTTGGCGCAGCCGCCTGCGCTTCCTGCCATCCGGCGGCCATCCGCCGCAGTTTTTCGACGGACTCTTTTGCCCAACATCGGTCCTCCACCAGTGCCCACCGCTGAGTAGGACTGGCACGGTCTTGTCAGGACCTGAACCTGGTGCGGCGTTGAGATCGCGGCGTCTGAACAATGGCCAGGGACCCAGGCGTGAGCGCCCCGTCCGCGTGCCGACAGACCCTCCTCCCCTGCCCTTTTTCTGTCGGCGGCGAGGCAGGATGATGGCTGCACCAGCGACAGAGCTAAAAAAAGGGATATCGAAAAAAGCGAACTGGCCGGCGAGTGCAGGAGAAGGGAGAGGACAGGGCGTCCACGGATGCGGGACGGGAAAATGACCACAACCACTGCTTCTTGTTTGCGCCGCCTTCCAGCCGGCCGAAAAAGAAGCAGTGGTTGTGGTCATTTCCCTGGTGCCAAACTTAACGAAAATGACCACAACCACTGCTTTGTTTCTGCTGGCTGGAAGGCGGCAACAAAAGAAAAGCAGTGGCTGTGGTCGCTTTCGCGCCCCGTAGCGGAGGGGGAGAAGAGCCGGGGCCCCTCCGAGGCGGAACCCTTCCGCCCACCCCCCGCTCCCCGCGCAGTCCGTCCGAGCTCAGAGGCTACTGGCGCTCGTGGAGTCGGCCGGGCCGCCTCCACCGGGCGCGTGTCGGAGGGCGCAAGCAACTCGCTGCGCCGGCCGATCGACTCCCATGCCGCCAGCAGGTTACTCCAGATTTCGTAATAAAAGGGAGGGGGTCTGGACCCTCCAAGACAAGCCATTTCAGACCTCCCCCGTGGGAGAACCCTCCAAAACATCGTCCCCAGACCCCCCAGGCCCTCCAAGATAGCCTGGAAGAGACCCCCCCCCCGAAATGAGACCCCCCTCCCTTTATTACGAAATCTGGAGTATCTTTCCGTGGCCCGTGCTTCACACAGAAACTGAGGGCCTCCAGAGCCAGTCTTGCCTGGGAGATTCGCGCGCCGGCGGACACTCGCGCGCGTGTGTGGCCCCCCAGTCGGGAGTATATACATCCTTCGGCGCCGCAAAGGCCGACCCCACCTGCCGTAGGCGGGAGATTCTCTGGCACAGTGGTCTTGGCCAGATCTATTGTTCCCGACCCTCCTGCGTTGGGTACTCGTATTGAATAGAGCACTGCGGTCGCACACCTCCTGCCTCCGTCCTCCTTTCATCCCTCCTACGTGCTTGCTACCCTGCCTCCAATCTCGTCGTCCTGCCTGAATGCTAGGTGGGCGGCTGCGATCTGCGAGAATGTCGCCACTTTCGAGGGCTGCTGCGGGGCCCAGCGAAGTGACGTGCTACGCAGATTCAGATTAGACCTCGCCATCCATTTGGGGCTGCTATGGGCGAAACTGTCGCCACTTTCGAGAACTGCTGCGGGGTCCAGCGGAATGACGTGCTACGCAGATTCAGATTAGACCTCGCCATTCCTGTGGGGCTGCGCTCTGAGAAACCGTCGCCACTTTCGAGGGCTGCTGCGGGGTCCAGCGCAATGACGTGCTACGCAGATTCAGATTTGACTTCGCCATTCCTGCGGGGCTGCGCTCTGCGAAACCGTCGCCACTTTCGAGGGCTGCTGCGGGGTCCAGCGGAATGACGTGCTACGCAGATTCAGATTAGATCTCGCCATCGCTGTGGAGCTGCGCTCTGCGAAACTGTCGCCACTTTCGAGGGCTGCTGGGGAGTCCATCGGAGCGACGTGCTACGCAGATTCAGATTAGGCCTCGCCATCGCTGTGGAGCTGCGCTCCGCGAAACCGTCGCCATTTTCGAGGGCTGCGGGGGGGTGCCTGGAGGGGTTCAACCGCTCTACCAGGGGAAGTCCTGCTCCTTGGCCCGAACGGGCGGGGCAGATGTGGCAGACGGCCCTTCTGGGCTTGACATGCCCCCGGTGTGGCTCCCGATGCGCCAGGATGGCCTGCAGGACGGCTCCCTCTTGCCCAAGACGGCCCACGACAGCTACCGGCACACCTCCGAAAAAGGTCCCGAGCGGGCTCCAAGACGACCCCGAGAGCGCTCCAGGGGGATCCCGAGAGACCAGCTTTCGGCCTCCGAGGGGGGATCCTGCTCCAGGACCCCCCTTCTGAGCAATGGGGCCCACGATCGCCCCAACACGGAGATGCGCTCCAAGAGCTTCCAGCGGGTCCAACACCTTCTCAACCGACGACGAGGGCCCCGAGATGGCCCCAAGATGGCCCCAAGGGGGCCCCAAGAAGGACCCAAGATGGCCACAAGAGTCCTCCAAGAGGCTCCTGCGACAAAGGATCCGAGAGGGCCTCCTTCTCCTTCTCCTCCTTCGCCTCGTCGTCTCCTGCTCCTCCTCCTCGCCCCCCGCCCCTCTTCCCCAAGATGGCTCCAAGAGGCCGCCCCCCAGGAGGCTCCCGAGACAGCGCGAGACGCGGACGCGCTGCTGCATGCGCTCCTCCGTCGTAGGCAGCATCTGGCCTCCCACAACAAATCCTTCTGGGAGGATGCTCCACTGCATGTTGTCACACGCCGTTGGTCTTGGCAGCATGCCTGTGTATGGTCTCCAGACAGGCGCGCTCCACTACTCGCAAAGGTAACTACTCACAAATGGCCTGGATCCGCCGCGGGGGAGCTTCTATATATATATATATATATATATATATATATATATATATTACATCGAGGCAAACAAATGTGTGTTCGGACACTTGCGAGCACGTAGGCACTTTGCGAGTAGTGGAACGCGCTCGGCGAGTGTCTGGATGGCTTGTCATCTGCTCACGTGAGGCCTCAACGAGATTCTGAGACAGCATGTCAGGGCATCGGTTCTGGATGACACGGATGCTGAGCCGCATGGGCTCTTCCGGCGGCGGGATCATCTGGTTTTCCACGCGTCCTCCTGGGCGCCTCTACCCCGTCACGACGAACTCTGGAATACACCATACAGGTACTGGCGGAGCCTCGAGGGGCGCCTGTCAATTCACCGAGTAGTATAATACAGAGAAGTGTGCGAGGCTAAGTTTCCCTCGTTGAGATAACTCCCTGATAATCGTTGCTGGATGGGCTGGTGGGGATATCTACGTGCAGCGACACGACTGCATACAGCCCTTTGGGAGTTTTCGGCCTCTGTCGGCGGTGGACACACCTCCCTTTGGTAAACCACCCCTTAGTGAAACCGGCCTGGGACCGAAACCGACGGACCTGGACCCGCAAGAATGACGGCCGCGACGCCCCCTCGCGAACCGAAAACGGCCAATTCGCTAATCGACGTGTCAGGGTAGGAGGTCTATCATGAAGTCGAGCCTGTCCTCCTACAGGGAGTTTGTGGATGAAAAATGAAACATACTCCCCAAATGCCCCCAAAATGCTCAAACACAGCCAGAACATAGTGCCCAGACCATTTCGTGACTATTTCTGAACACTCCCCCTGTGGAGGGACAGGCCCGACGTGACTCCAGCAACCTCCGACTCTGGGCACTCCCCGGGGCCCATGGGGCCGTCGGGCAGCGACCCGCTGGATGGGAGGCCGGTCCGGGGAGAGGGTCGGGACTAGGAGGCCCCGTGCAGGACGTTGGCTGTGCGCACGTCGGGGGCGCGCAGGCACGGGTTCGCGGCCCATGGAGGATCCAGGGGTCGCGGCCACCGCGCGCCAGGTCCATGATGGATCTCTGGCGCGCGGTGGCCTCGTCCACGGGTCGGGGGAGGTGCCCTCCCCAGAGTGCGGCCGGTGCCGCCTCGTGGAGGTCCGCGACTGCCCGCGGAAGCGGGGCCCGTCGCGAGTCCGCGCCCCCTGAATCCATGTGTGTGCGATCGCCAGATGTATGTATGTATGTGCGTATGTGCAGACGTGTGGAGACATGCGAACTTGGAGCCCAACGCCATCAGCCACAGCGCTGGGATCAGCGAGCCCGAAGATAGGCAGCAGTGTCAGCGGGTCCTCGGCGCTGGGCGCTTCCCCGGTCTCGACCTCTTCCGAGAACTGGACGCCCGGGGCCTCGGGAGACGAGACGTCGCGCGCCGAGACGGGGAACTCGCTCACGCGCTTGCGGAACGTGACGAAGCGGTTGTCTATGGCGGTCTCCTCCCCCTCCCCCTCGGCGTCACCGAGCTCGACGCCGCCGCACGAAGCGGGGGGAGCTTCCTCGGGGCGCACGAGGCCGGTGGCCTGGCGCGTGCGCACGGGCTTGGCGTCGGGCGGCGTGGGGCTGGCGGCCCTGCCAGCCGTCTCGGCGCCCTCGGCAGAGCGACCAGCATCGGCAGTGTCAGCGGCATCCGGCCACGCGTGGTCGTCTGGCTCCACGAAGCCTGTTAGGGAGCCCACAAAGGACGTACGCGCCCAGCTGTGTACATGAACACGGCCCCTCGATCCGCGAGACCAGCCGCGTTATACGAACATTTGCGCAATGCGTACTCTCGAAACCAACGTGGATTCATGTACGTGTACGTCCTTCTGTCGCTCCACGAAGCCTGTTGGAATCCGACTCCTCACCGGCTTCGGCTCCGCGGCGGAGGCGCTGGCGGCGTCCGCCACGCTGGCCTCCCCGGAGAAGCGCACCACGCCCCTCGCGGGCGCGCCCGCGGCAGCTTCCCCCTCGGGCGGCGAAGCGCACGCCGCCCTCCCCAGAGATCATTTTTTGTTTCTTTTTTTTTTTTGTTTCTTTTTTTGGGGGGGGTGTTGTTTCTTTTCAAAAAAAAAAAAAATCCGGGGTCCCCAGGACCGGCTTTTCATCCTGACTCGCTTCCTGTCAGCCCCGGGGCCTGGCGAGGGCCCCTGGAGGCCGCACGCTGCGCAAAACTTCCGCCCCGATGCTTTCGATGCGCTGGAGATCTCTGGGCCCGGGCTGTCCGCCTGGCTCGCGCGCATGCAGCTGGTGACCTGCCGCCCCTCCGGCCGCCTGGCGCCCGCGGGCGCCGCGCGGGCGCCCTCCGCCGCCGGGTGGTGCTCGGCGAACACGAAGCCTGCGGCGCCGCATTCCTTCCTCCCTCGGGGCTGTCGGGGATCTTCTGACCCGGGTCAATCCAGACCCGGGTCAGCCAAACCTTGCAGAATCCTGCAAGATCCTGCCAGACCCTGCATCCAAACCCGGGTCAATGCGAAAGATCCTGCAAGATCCTGCAGAGTCCTGCACCCAAGCCCAGGTCGATGGGAGCCTGGCCCTGCAGGATCTTGCAAGATCTGGCGCTCTGGCTGACCCCCGTTTGCATTGATCCCCGTCTCAAAGCTCCCTCGGGGCTGGGAGGGCGGAGTCGGACCGGCCAGAAGCCAAACGGGAACGCCCCGGACCCCAGGCTCTTCCGCGGGGCCGCATTTTCACCCCGGACCGGTCTTTGACTGTCTCGTTCGCGGTCGTTCGTCGTCGTCGTCGTCGTCGGAATCAAGATTGCAACCGACTGGAACTAGCAGCGCCAAAGCGGGGACCCGAATGTAACTCCGCGGACACCGAATAGAGTCCAAGGCCGAATCCAGGAAGAAAGCGACTCGGACCAGAACGGGAATCGAAATTCCAAGACACCTGCCGTCGTAATTTTCTCAGCATGTGGACCCGTAGAGGTCCCGACCCTTTCCAGGGATAGTTTTTTTTTGTCCACAATCATGTTTGTCTTCCCCAGGGCCAACTTAGGGTCCCTGGAGGACGTACATTGCTAACAGCCTTACGTCGTGACATTGTCCGACGGGAGGGGGGGCCTTAGGAGGGAATCGAAGTCCCACATATCGAAATCGCACAAGCTCGGATCTTGGCGGCATGCGCAATGGGGTGGTGCGAAGGATGCGGCCTTCCAAGAAAGCGGGGGGCGTCCTTGAAGGCAAAGGCCTCCCGAGAAGGGCCCAGCTGCTTGAAACAGAAGACAACTTCTTCTTAGACGGCATCTGCCTTCTTAGAAGCGCCTCGCCCTATCAGAAGGCCGCCCCCTCGCAGAGGACGAACCGTCAGCCAGATCACTGCTGGCAGACATCTGCATCGACGACGTCCTCTCACCGCCTGGCTTGGCTGTCTTACCCTGACCGCGCCGCACACTTCTGCGCGCCGCCAGGGACAGGACCAATCGACATCGGATGGGGACGATTCGATTCCGATGCTGCGGCGATCCCAGCCGCCCCGATGTTTGCAGGGCGGTGTGGTGCATCTTGGCACAGCCGATGCAGTTAGATTTCGTGCCGTTGCAGCCCGATCCGGCGCGCGATCCAAGGCGATCCGACGCGCGTTCCGAGGCGGACCGCCTCGGAACGCGCCTCGGATCGGGCTGCCACGGCACGAAATCTGACTGCATCGGCTGCGCCAAGAGGCACCCTGGCCATCGCTCGGACGTCCATTCCCTGTGTTTTTTCAGGTTTCGTGCGTGGTTTTTTCGCCAAATGATCTAGGATGCTCCTCAATGGTCCTCGCCGAAGAAAAACTGCACACGTCCGAGCGATGCCAAGGCACCACACCGCCCTGCAAACGTGTCGGGGCGACCGGGATCGTCGCAGCATCGGCATCGAATTGGATCGAGCTGGCCAGACTCGGTCGAGATCGACCCTGCGAATCGGAACTCTGGCCATCGCTCGAACGTCCATTCCCTGTGCTTTTTTCGGTTTCGTGCGTGGTTTTTTCGTCAAATGATCAAGGATGCTCCTCGATGGTCCTCGCCGAGGAAAAAGACGCACACGTCCGAGCGATGCCAAGAACTGGGCTAGAAGAAGAACAAACGGCGTAGCTATAAACATTTGTGGCGCTCCGCGTGGATTTCTTGGATCTGTGCTGGACCGCCCCTCCCTGGCGCGCGGAGCGCGCCAGGGGCGGCGCCGCCAAGGGGGTCCCACGCGCGGATCCGAGAAATCCGCGCGCAGCGCCAAACAATTAGGCTTGTGGCGTTTTTTTCCGTCTTTCAAAGGCTGGGCGCTGGCCTGTGGGCGTCCTGTCCCTGGCCGACCGGGCGCCGGGCGCCGCCGCGCTCGCGGCATCGGCCACGTCGGGCTCCCCGGCGGCGAAGCGCACGGCGGCGCCCTCCGCGGCGGCGGCGGCGGCGTGGGCGAAGCGGGTCGGCGTGCGGCGCACGGGCGGCTGCGAGCTGCCCCCCACGGCGGCCTTGCGCAGAGGGCGTCCGTACACACCGCCGCCGTGCCCAACCCGCCATCCATATATGACCGGCGATCAGAAGCGGGTCTTCCGCGAGATGACACAGCGACCTTGCGCGGTGGCTTACGCGGGCCGCCGGCGCGGCACGCTACTTTGGAGACGAGGGCGCTCACGCGCGACCTTACGCGGGCAGCTTGTGCTCCAATGTCGGCGCAGACGACCCCGTGTTTTTGCGTCGCCCATATGGGTTTTGGCACGGCGTATACGCCGCCCTGGCCGAGGGCAAGAAGTCTCTCTACCTCCCTCTCTGTCTTTCTCTGTATGCATGTGTACACGTTCGCACGTAGAAACCGGGCCTAAGGCGGTGGTACCAACGACGGGACAACCATCGGGACAACAGTCTGCATCCTTCGAACAACCTCTATCGGTCTATCAATCGATCTCATTTTCTCTCTCTCTCTCTATATATATATATGTATCACTGTCTTCCACCTGATATATGTATATCCCTATCTGTCTGTTTGTCGACCTAAGTACGAATACGTATACGTATTTAACTAACTGTCCACATATTGATTCCGCTGTCTATATATCACTGTGACTCTATATATATATACACTTATTCCACTATTTATACATCGACATCTCTCGATGCATATCTACATGCATCATACACATATACATACACACATACATTCATACAAACATACATATATACACATACAAACATACGTATACTGGCCCCACTTTCTATGCACCCATTTTTACCACCTACAAGTCAACCACCAGGACAACCACCGGGACAACTATCATACGTACCTCTACTTAGCTACAGATATATGTGTACCTCTATATATATGTACACACCAGTTGGCTGGCGTAGATCTCAAACACTGTGATTCTAGCACGCTGAGTGGTGCAACCTATGGTGTGCAATTAATTTCTGTTCGCAGTGAATTGTCCACTCCACTGCTCGCGCAAACATCCCACCCACCCACCCGCAACTTGGTTTGCAAAATCTCTTAAGACCGTGACGGTGGGTACCACATGGCACTTGGCAACAACAGCGACGCCGACGACGACAGCGACAACGACGATGACGACGCCGCCGACAACGACTACGACGACACCGACGACGTCTCCAACGACTTCGACGACGCCGACAACGACGACGACGACGACACCGACGACGACGACGACGACGACGACGCCGACGACGACGACGATGACAACGACGACGACGATGACGACGCCGACGACGACGATAACGACGACACCGACGACGACGACGACGACGTCAACGACGCCGACGACGACGACGACGACGACGGCGGCGACGACGACGACGCCGACGTCGACGACGACGAAGACGACAACGACGCCGACGCCGACGACGACGACGAAGACGACGACGACGTCGCCAACGAAGACAACGAGGAAGGAGGGAGGACGACGACGGCGACAACGACGAAAACGACGAGGGAGGAGGGAGGACGGCGACGCCGACGACGGCAACGACGAGGGAGGAGGGAAGACGACGGCGACGACAACGACGACGACGACGACGGCGACGAAATAGGAGGGACGACGACGAGACGCCGACGACGGACGACGACGACGACGAGGGAGGAGGAGGAAGGACGACCACGGCGACAACGACGACGGAAACGACCACGACGCCAAAGAGGACGACGACGACGAACACGAGGAAAGACAGAGGACGACGTAGGCGACGACGACGACGACAACGGCGCGGGAGGAGGGAGGACGGCGACGACGACGACGACGACGCAAGAGCGCGTGCGCACGCTTTTGTTGAAAATCCGTGTTGCGAAACCTTGTGTTTTTGTAGCTTTTTTGGACACACGATTTTGAAATCCTTTCGAAACGGATTTTGAAGGTTTTCGGCATACGCGCGCGACGACGCGCGCGTCTGCACTTCGTCCCGTTTTTTGCAGGGGGTTCTCGCGACGGCACACGCGCAAGGGCGTTCGACAGATTTCGACATGAGCGCGCGCGAAGCCCGTTTGGTAGCATTTTGTGAAAATCTGGAAGAACCTATGGTTTTCTTGGGATTTCGCAAAAACTTTCGCGGAAGCTTTTTTTAGCAACTCCGTGTTGCGAAACCCTGTGTTTTTGTATTTTTCTGGAAACTCGATTGCGAAATCCTTCCCGCACCAAAAGGTTTTTGAAGGATTTCGGCATGCGCGCGCGACGACGCGCGCGTGCACTTCGTTTTGTTTTTTGCAAAGGATTCGTGAACAAGTGTTATGTTAAAACAACAAATGTCACCGCATAGTGTTTTCTTACAAAGGGAATCCAGGGGGGGGGGAAACCGGCCTATCTGGGATGGTATGATTTCATATTTAGGATGGACGAGTGTGCAGAATATATATATATATATACACAGGAAATCATACTATCCCAGGGGGAGCCGATAAGTCCGGGGGGGTAGAGTCTATTCTCCTTATAGAAAAGATAATTGGTTTTAACAAACGCGTTGA